ATTTAATGTAAAAACAAGCATAAAGACATGAAGATAAAACATGAATGTAAGATGTATAAAGCCAGGCTGAATAAATGAGTATTCAGTTATTTCAGCAGAATTAAGACAGTGCAAAGATGAAGGCAACACATTCCTTAATCTCTGAGGATGCATCCCTTCTGATTTCTGGACATTAATGGACCATCAGCACTCTTAATATCAAACAAATTCACACTGGGGTGTAGATACACATCATTTCTTGGGGGATTTGCAAATTTAATTCATTGTACTGCCCTGTTGTGTTACCCACAGCGCCTTCTAGTGGCAAGTGTGGAGAACTAAAACAAATATTTCAGCTTTTTCTGCAAAATTGTTTCTCATGTTTCTCTAATGAGTGCGGTGTGTATAACCGATGTCAGTCGATAGTTTTTATAATTAAATTAGATTTAGTAAGAAAGGGGAAATAAAAGGCAAATCACAGTATCACAGTAACTCTCTCATCATGTTGGCTGGGAATGTTTTGAGGCAGAATTACTGCTTCATTTCACGTAAAAGGAAAGACAATATGCAAGCTGAGAAACAAACAGACCTGAGGGAACAGGTTTAACCCATGAAGGGAGAAAGTTTTATTGCCAGAAGCTGTGTTCAAAAACAAGAACAAGATATTCGTGCTGGAAGCTTGAAATCTGAGCCAAAGAGGGTCAGATTTCACAAAGAGTGGAGGATGTTCATAAGCAAGTAGGACTTGACTGCGAAAGTACTTTCCTATCCAGAAAGAACTTCCATCAATGGAAGACATATTAATACACAAGTTTTTTTTTAAATCTGCTTTTAGTTTGATTCCCAGCTCAGAAATCAATGCACTGCATCTTTCTTTCAATGCATTTTGCTCTTCAGATCTCTCCATTTTATATTGTGAAGTTAAGCCAAATGTGGAGGAATAACCACAGGGCAGCAGAACTTCCTGGAATACAATCAAGATTGCCTTTGATGTCACCACTAATGTTGCAGGAGCTAAGGCTGTCGTGATTTGAGAAAATAAAAACTAAGCAATGTATTTAATTTTTTTACAAAGCAGCTACATAAAATAACCAACAGGTTGTACTGCAGTGATATCTATCATAGGAAATACATTATTGAAATGTTTGGGGTTATTTTTCAAAAAGCTAAAAGAGTTAGTTAATGACTTTCAAATTTTATGTGTGGAAAGTTGTAACAACTTCTCTCTTGATTACTTTAATATAGTAGAAAAAAAACCATAACAACTTACAACATCCAGAATGGCCCAGGGATTTACTGTGAGAACCACCTCAAGAGGGCGGTTATGTTTCTTGACAGGCAGTCCCATGATGTACATAGCATTGTCTTTGCTCAGGTTAAGGTGATTCAGAATGTCATAATCTGTACATCCCTCTGCTGAAATATCAAAAATAGTTGGAATCAGTAAAATATTGTTTTAAAGTATTTTGTGTTAATAATTTTCACATTTAGTAATATGTTTTGGCCTGAGATAATGTCTGCAAATATGTTAGCGTAAGTCTTTTCTTTTCTCCCACCAAACCAGTGGAATAGAAAAGATTGCTTTAGTTAAAATATAGCTAAATCTACTGAATCTCAGTTCATTTACAACAACAATGCAAAGACAGTTTTTCCACAAACAGATGCTTTAACTTGTACTTTGTGGCGGCTTTTTTCCCACCATCCTGGCAACAACTCCGCCTGTTAAACAACATAGACATTGTTTTTGTTTCAATGCTACAAAAATGCAGTTTATTATCTTCTGTATTAGAAGGCTTGATTTTAGAGCATCACTAATCTAGTTAATCAGCTTCAGAGCTTTGTAAAGTAAAACACTTAAACACAGAACAGCTGCTAGGAGCCACAGAACCGACTGTGGCAGAACCACAGAGGCCAAACTGAATGGCATTAATCTTATTGTTATTAAGGTTAAGAAAGTTCAATGTCATCTGTGATTTAATATCACATATAAAACTCAATAGCTGTTACACTGAATAGTTGTTTCTACATTTAGTCAGATAGATATACACTGCAAAAACACAAAGTATTTTTGGTCTTGTTTCAGCAAAGTGTACATTTATTTAGCAAATTAATTCACTTATGACAAGACATTTTTCCTCATGTTATGAATTATACAATCTACCAGAGGAACTATGACTTTTTCTACAGTTTCAAGGAATTATTGATTCCAAACAAGGTCCTATTTCTTGCTTAAAAGCCACCTATAAGTTTGGTAATATTTTAGATTTTTGCAGTGATCTCCACTTTTATGAAAGTGGAGATTTTTCATAAAACTAGACTCAGGAAATATAAAATATGAACAGAAAACGAATAAAACCTGATGCCGGCAGAGAGGAAAATTTCAGTTTAAGCCGAGCCCTAATTGTAAACTGTTTCAAAACAGATTTTTGTGTTCAGCAAAGACGCCTTTAGATTCAACATCCCAAGAAAAACATCACTAATACTTCAAAGGTATGGGCTCTATAACAGTAGGATTAATAATAATTTGATTGATCCAGACAGGATACGTCAATATTTAACAAAATCGAATGGTTTCTAGTGCAGTGACCCAATGACAGACACTTTAGAGCAACTTGAAAGGCTCTCATTCGTCTAATATTGAAAAGTGGACAATAATCACAAAGATCTTCTATGCATCACACAATAGAAATATGTCATTTAAAATCCTGAAAGTGATCCATGCCACTATATTAAAAAAATAACATTTTAAACAATAGACATTCACTCTACAACAAAGTTTCAACTTACATGGTAGGAGGAGCAGAAAATACAAATTTATGAGCCTCATAGTTGTTGCACTTCAGTATGTATCTTAATCTATCTGTGAGGGGATTCTTCTGTCTGAACGCAACCAGAACAGAGTAATAAGTGTAATGATGCTAAATTTGCCTGTTCGAATGAACAGAAAGCTGCAAGAAAAGGGCCAACACCCTAAGCACTCGACTGTTTATGTCATAGAAGGACTTGTGTCCATTTGAGCAGATAAAATGATAAAACCACAGCTTTTACATTTTCTCAACTAATTGGCAAAGTATTGATGAGAAACACTCTAGTACTTATCGTCAAATAATTGTTGCCTTCAAATAGAGCTACTTATTCTTATATTATCAATTAAGTAGTTGGAGGAGTTCTTAATGTACTTGTAAGAAAAAGAGTTATTCTTTCAGATGTTTTCAATTGGACTTTTCTAACGTGCCGTTAAATGGGGTCGAAATCCACTGCACCACTTTTTCTTTTATGTTCAATCCAGGATTGTTGCTCCAGATTTTTATTTCTGAAACTGAGAAAGTGAGAACAGACAACAGCAGCGAACACAGGCAAGAAATAACAGAGTGATCGAATTACATTAAGCACAGAGATCAAAAACCACAAAAGTCTCCACACTTATATCTTATCAGTGACCATCATTGATTTTACGCTGAAAACTTTCACCTATCATTTTCATTGTGGTCGTGGTCAGCAGCACTTGCCAAGACAAAATATAAATAGATGAGCAGCCACAAGATGAAATAAGAAACTTAAAATTCAGTTTATTGACCAGAACTACCCTTTCAGGAGGAAATGAATGGAGACATTTTAATGCAGGCATTGGTTTAAGATCACATGAACATTCAAAGTAAAGATTTGAATGTTTTTGAAAGGTTTTGAAAGGTTTATGCAGACTGAATACTGACTCACAAAGTTCTTTGCTTGTTCAAACAACTACAATTTTGCTGTCAAAACAATATCTTCTTGCTTTAACTGGCAGCTACTGTTGAAACATCATAGATTGAATAGAGATTGTGAACTAATGCATCATAATTTAACAGAAATTAACAGAGATTTGTCCATGAAGTAGATTCTGTGTATACCTGGGATCCATTTAAGTATAAATTATCTGAGATGGCACAACAGATTTATTTATGAAAAATATTAATCTCAAATTGCAATATGAAGTTTTGAAGATTTCAGCCATGTATTGGCTGAAAACTTGACTTCAGGGCTTTATCCCCATTAAATTTTATGTTAATTGCTTACATCTAACTTTGTATTATTTCCCTATTTCCCATCTGTAAATCAATAAAAAATGGAATCTCAATACTGATCATCATTTTTCATCATTTTGAAGTCCATAGGCCTCTATATTGTTAAATGTTAAATGTTTTTACTGAAGTCATTTTTTGTTGGTCTACTACTGTTTTTTTTAATGAGAAACTACAATTTGTGTATTTCTAAAGCATTATGCCATATTAATCAGAATCAATATAAGTAGGCAATTAATACAGTAGGTCATCCTGTGTGTAATACTTGGTGAGACATATAAATACTCTTAATTCTGTTATACTTGAATGGAGACAATGAAGTTTGTCCAATTAAATTAGGAGTTTTAGTTTTTAGATTATATTTGTTTTTGAAGTGCACTTCTATATTCTATATCAATGGCAATTCTAACACATAATCAGTTTATTATGCTAAATTTGGAGAAAAATGCATAAGTTCGTCATAAACTGGCATTGTTGAATACCTAAACAAATATGAAAACTGGTGTTTTATGAGAGTGGATTTTTTGTTTATTTACTTATTATGATCAATTAGGCTCTACTTACTTGTTGCTATGTTCAATAGAGCTGATTTTAATGGTAATTTAACAGAAAACCAACATTAAAGGCTGGTGACAAAAACAAAAGGACAGGAGCTGGTAATGTTACAAACCACAATAAATTAATTAAACAAATAAAGTTGCAACATTTTCTTTCTTGAGGACTCCATAATCCATAACCAGATAAATTATTATTAAAAAGCTCACATGGGAAACGTATCTAAACACAATTTTCATTCTTCTTTAAAAATAAAATACTTTTACCTTAAATATACAAACTATTTAGCAAAAAGCTACATTTAGAAATACAACTTTCATTCATCTTCAAAGTTCACAGACACAATAAAGCAAAGGACAAAAACCTCCCAGTATTTTCTTTCATTTGTTTTATTGGAGCGTCTATCAGGGCTTTTATCCAGCAACATGATTCCAGGAATTATTTTGCATTTAGATGTTAAATAACCACAAAAATATATTAGTCTTTTTACCATATTGCAGTTTATTCCAAATGCAGAGATTCACTCTCAGTCTGCAACACTTTTAATATGCTATAATGGACAGCATGACTTTATTCAATTTAACGGCCCATCCAGAGTTTTTAACATGTATACAACAAATGGAAATGCATTAAGAACTTGAATGGAAAGCCATTAAGCTAAACAGTGTGAGATAATGCTTTGCTAACAGCAAAAATGTTCTTTTGCAATTCTACTGTTGTCTGCATGCCAAATGTGGTGACCTTGTATTTATAAACTTAATCACAATAATGTCATTTCACATAGTCACTGTAAGATAATCGGTAAACAATAAAGTACCTAAACAATGCAAGTGATACATACAGACACAAACTTTAAATATATTGAAAATATTAGAAGTTTTTTGCCACTACTTTTAGAAACTGAAACTCATAGATTCATTACAAAGAGTGAAATATTTCAAGCCTTCATTTTTTGTAATCAGTACAGTACATAAATGTAAATGTTTCTATCACATTCTCTAAGTCATTTTCTTACAGGTTTCATTCTACATAAACAGTATTTGATGAATGAGCGTTTAGAAATCTTAACCATGTTTATTTAACTTAATGTAAAAGAGCAGCATCTATACTGGTTTATAACCAATAATAAGGAAAACATATCAAACTGTCAGTCAAAGTTTGGAACACAAAATTATCAGAGTGAAAATGTTTGAAATATTATACAAGTTTTCAAAGACCAACATTGGATTATTTGTTTGTTCTTCTGCAAAATTAATTTATTTGGATTTTGCTCTTTTCTATTCAGAGTACAAAACTTAAAGTTTGGTTAAGTTCAAGTCCAGTTTTTTTTCTCTCTCTCTCATCTCAATGTAACTAAACCAAAACTGCTCAAATAAAAACTCCAGTGTGAAAGCAAACATTTGAGGATGAACCTTTATTGATTGATTATCTTAGATCAGACGACATTCTCTTCAAATTCAAAAACGTACACATATTATACATGTTTATTATATTGATATATTTTTGTCTTCCTGCATGTTTATTTTCAGTTTCATTGCTGTTTCCTGGTCATAAACTAAATTCACATTCATGGCTTAAATTGAATCATGCCTATCATTTATTTTATACACATTTATTTTATTATGAGTCAGCTAAATAGTTACCTGAATATATCTAGACCTTTTTATATGATCTCATTGCTTAAGTAGATGTTTAATATATAGAAATAATGATTAAAATATTTTTAAAATGTAATAGGAAATAGGTAGCGCTAAGTATTGGTATTTTCATGCAGGTAACAGTTCAAAATGATACCCAGTAAGTAATACATACATATTTATGTTGCTTTAAAACTCAGAGCTATAACTGTCTGCTTTGGATTTCTTCAACAAAGAAAGTTCTGCTTCTGTGTGTATTTTTGCAGTCTGTCCTCTTAAAACCCAGCAGCTGCAGCAGATTCCCACCCAGACTGATCTGCTGGAGGAACTGGTTCTTCTCCACCGTCACCACATGCTTGCACTTAGTGATGTTCATTTATTTATTGCTGCATGCATAACCAGAGTTTAAGATAATTTGAATAAAGAAGTATCACATCAAACTTCCCACTACAGTTTGAGATAATAAATAATGTCCTGCATCTAAGCCTGGTACTTCAGTACAGCAGATTACCAGATAGTGTAACAGGAGTGATCCATACCTTATTAGTTTAGAAACTAATTCAAAAACATGCATTAATACAGTTTTGAACATCGACAGACTCCTTTTTTAACTGCTGCTATCAAGGAAATGGCATCTAAACATGACAATCAGCAATAAAAGACAATGAAATGTTCTTCATCAAATTTATCAATAAATTAAAAACAATAGGAGTGACTGATTGTTTGAAAATTGCACTCAAATTCACACTGATGTTATACATCACGAACGTGAACATGTTTAAGAGCTTTCCTCCATTTATCTGATTATGAGAGCCACATATTGAAGATAACACATAAAAACACAATCACAGCTGTTACATAAAAATATGTAAATATCTTGTCAATTGTTTTCGCAATTCTTGCCCAATACCTGGGCTTTTGCTCCATTTTGTTGCTCAGGAATGCCACAGATCTTTTCACTCCCTGCAGTTGGTCAGAGACCTTTTCCACAGCCAGGAATACCTCAGTCAGTCGGTCGCGGCTTCCCTGCAAGAGCGATTCAGTCGGTGGACAAGTTTAACCACATTCATTTTAACAATTAACAGTGGCATATACGTCTCTGGACAAATTTAAGAAACAACTTTAAAAAAATCTGTTTATCTGATTTTACTTTTTATAGGTATATGTTTGAATGAAATGAACACTTTTATTCTATGAACTACTGACAACATGTCACTGAAATTCAAAGCAAAAATTGTTTTATTTATTTGCAGAAAATGAGAAATGGTCAAAGTAACCAAAAAGATTAATTGCTTTCAGACCTCAAATAATGCAAAGAAAGCAAATTCATATTCATTTAGAAACAACACTATTGTTTTAACTCAGGAAGAGTTCAGAAATCAATATTTGGTGGAATAACCAGGGGGTTTTCAACGGGGTTCAGTGCAGTATTGATTTTATTTTTTCATTTTTTTCCAGAGTTTCATATCCAAAACTCTCCAATTCAAGCTCCTCTGAAAATGTTTCTGCAGTGTTATAACATATATTCCATAAATTAGCAATGTATTGTTTTGTATGCCTGGCGGTTTGTCTTGTGTCTCCATGTTGCCCTAACCAGGGTGCATAGAGCCTCACCCAATGACTGCTAAATATTTATATATATATATATATATAAATATATATATATATATATATATATATATATATATATATATATATATATATATATAATATATATATATATATATATTAATATATATATATATAAATATTGATTGATAAGCTAAATCCCATAAACACATCAACAGCAATACTTTTTGTCAAACCCAAATTGGTTTTTCTTGTTCAATCTGAGTTCAATGTTGTATTGCAAGCTGTAACACTAACCTCTTTGTCAATAGATGGGTATTGATCAGCAGTTTCATCAAATGTGGATGAGCAATGAAAGCATTTCTTCATCTCTGAGAAAGACAAATAAGTGGACATAGTTTTAAATGCAGTGCAGCCATATAATAAAATCACAGAGCGATAAGCTGTGTTTGGATTAATAGATGTTCATCTTTACCATGCTCTTCATTCAAACTTTGGGCATCGTCCTTGGACGCTGAGTCCTTCTCTAACAGATTGATTACCACGATAGTCTCCAGCAGGCTGAGCAACATTAGTCCAAAAATCCCAAGGATGAACACCACTAAGAGGAGCCAACAACACATTAATAAAACACTGGATCGGTATATTTTGCTCTTGGTCAAAATAGTGGGAGCCTGTTTACTTGGTTCTAATCAAAGTCAGTCAAACCCTCTACTAGTGTTAACCTTTCTCTTCTATTTGGTACTATATTCTTATTTCAGTTTAAGTTGATTTTTGCCTTTTTGGTACCTACTGTACCTACTTCCTTTCCGTGTTCTTGTCCACCATCTTTGCTACACGCTCAACTGCATAAGTTACACCTATAAATGTTATTTGAGGGAAAGTTCCCATATTTATTTATTTTTTCTTACCTAAAAGGGGAATTTTGCTTGATGTAACAGGTAGAATCTCGATGACAATAAGTTGCATCACAGTGACGGCGAGCAGGACAGTGGTCTTGAAGCCGATCTTCTCCCCTCCACCATGTGGCAGGAGGAGGGAGAAAAAATCCAGACACAAGAAGAAGAGGATCGGCAGCACAAAGCTAACAAAGTGGAGGGCAGATTTTCTCCTTATTTCTATCTGTAAACAGATGTGGGAGATGATTTGAAATACTTGGTTTTTGATTTAAGAATCAGCAATATTGGCATCTTTTTGTAAGTGAATTTGTACAAAAAAGAATATGGCTATGAAGTTTATAAATATACCAAAAGTGAAGGGTAAATTTGCTGAGCCAAGCTGCAGAGTTGAGCAGTAAATTCTTTATTAACCACTTAATTGCAGTACTTCAAAGTGATCTGTACATTATACATCATAAATGCAGAAGTTGGCAACTACAGTAGCTTTAGCAGCAAGAACTGCACTGGAAAACAACCAACACAACTTGGCTCAGCGAAACTAAGACAATATAAAATGTAGAGATCGCTGTCTGTAGAACATACTTACAGTGTAAACAACAACGGTTTGATCGTATCCATAATGGTTCACTGAATAACTGGTGACAGACATGTCGACCAACAACCACTCAAAATCTTTCGACATCATTTTCTGAGCCCACTTTGATATAACTGATCTATTTCCTAGTACGTTGACTTGTAATTCATGTTCTAAGATGAACAGAAAAGCAAGAAAACAACAGTTAGGCTTATAACAAGGCATCAAGAAGTCAATGTCAATGCAACATGTATTTTAGATTTAATTTTCAACAATTTCCGAATCAGAAAGTTGTTGTGTATCTTTTTGATCTACCAATGAAAATTTAATTTAAAATGTTGTATTCGTTTAATTATACAAAGAAAAACTGAACTCACCTCCATACAAGTAGGATTTGAAAGTGATGTTGCACGTCTGAATGTCGAAAGGGAATTTGTGAACATGCATCTTACAGGTGCTGATCACAATCTGGTCATTGCTAAATTCAACCAACCCATTGCTGTGTATTTTGAGAAAAGGGCTTGGAGGAGCTTTGTCCTTCTCTATCCTGTGAAAGATGCAATGATAGATTTCAAATATTGAATATTGTGGGAACGCTGCTTTTTAACAGCCAATAGCAAAACAAAATATCTCTTTACACATTTATATTTTAAATGTCTGTATCAAGAAGAAAGTGTTTGCTTGCGTAAACAGAGGATACACAAGGCTGAGCACGGACATGAAGCACATAGACAAGAAGCACAGGAGTCTGAGTGGAAAGTTCATGACTCTTGAATTATGAGTCTTAACTTAATCAATCAATCAAATTTTATTTGTGTAGCACATTTCAGCAGCAAGCATTTCAAAGTGCTTCACATCATAAACACAAGAACACAAAGTCATGCAACATATAATAGACAATACATTGTTACATATTACATTTCAAATACAGTTATAAACAGGTGTGTTTTTAATTGCAATTTAAAAGAAGTCAGGGTTTCCGCTGTTTTACAGTTTTCTGGAAGTTTGTTCCAAATTTTTGGTGCATAGATGCTGAAAGCTGCTTCTCCTCTCTTGGTTCTGGTTCTGGGGATGCAGAGCAGACCAGAACCAGAAGACCTGAGAGTCTGGAAGGTTGATATAACAACAGCAGATCTTTGATGTATTGTGGTGCTAAACCGTTCAGTGATTTATAAACTAACAACAGTATTTTAAAATCTATACTTTGAGCTACAGGGAGCCAGTGGAGGGACTTTAAAACTGGTGTTATGTCTCTATCTTCCTGGTTCTAGTGAGAACGCGAGCAGCAGCGTTCTGGATCAGTTGCAGGTGTTTGATTGATTTGTTGGACAGGCCTGTGAAGATGCTGTTGCAATATTCAATGCGACTAAAGACAAACGCATGGATGAGTTTCTCTAGATCTGGCTGAGACATTAGTCCTCTAATCCTGGAGATGTTCTTCAGGTGATAGAAGGCCGACTTTGTAACTATCTTTATGTGGCTCTGAATGTTCAGGTCAGAGTCCATCACCACTCCCAGGTTTCGGGCCTGATCGCTAGTTTTTAGTTGTAATAACTGAAGCTGTGCATTGACTCTAGATCGTTCCTCTTTAGGTCCAAAAATAATGACTTCAGTTTTGTTTTTGTTCAGCTGGAGAAAGTTTTGGCACATCCACACATTTATCTGTTCTAAACATTTATTCAGTGATTGGATGGGTTCAGTATCACCTGGTGACATCGTAATGTAGAGCTGAGTATCATCTGCATAATTATGGTAGCTAATATTATTTCCTGTTATAACCTGGGCTAGCGGGAGAATATAAATATTAAATAAGAGGGGTCCTAAGATTGAATCTTGGGGTACCCCACATGTGACCTTTGACCTCTTTGATGAGAAGTTTCCAATTGAAACAAAGAAATCCCTGCTTAATGATGCGGTTTAAATCAAACATAATATGCAAGAAAAAATGTCCTCACCTAGCTAAAGAGCAAACATTTCTCTTTTATTTTTATTCACAATATCAAGTTAAACTAATTATTTTACTTCAAGTTATTCTTTCAAATGGCATGAGCAAAATTTCTGATCTGATAATGAATTCTGCTCAAAAACATTCAGTGTGAATAGAACATTTCCCTCAGGCTTTGCAAATTCAAAATAAACATTTGTCTTCACACAAGCGTCAGATCAATGTAACGCACTTCCATCTCAGGATGCAAAAACATGCCGCTAAGCACTCTGGGAAATAGTTCTTCTCCTGTCTTTTCTTCATTTGATTTTTTTTAAGCGCTATAGTTTATTCAACTGTTGGACAAAATTAATAAAACGTTAACAAACTTATTAATGTGAATTTATCTTTCACAAACTCACATTTAGGTTCAAAATCTGAAACTTGATAAATTTATTTGACTTAATGAGTAGAAGATGGTAGATGCAACTAAATGTGGCTCAAATGTTTACAGTGTAGCTCAAACATGATGCCATACTGGTTTTGAGCAAAACTGTGGGAAACAACAGGATGTTTAACCATTTTACTGAAGAAAGAGTGGCTGTTAAAACACCCACCAGTAGGAGAAACCAGTTGGTAATTTAAATGCTTACTTTAAACCTGAAGCACACTTGTACTCTCAGTCCCTCAGGACTCTACAGTACATGTCTACTCACATCTCTTCAATTGTCATGTCTGGCTTCCACAATAATCCTGTTGGAACAATTATGTCTGAAATTCCACAGAAGTCATCTTTATTCCATTTGGTGTAATCATTTTCCCAGTCCTGAATGGAAAAATTAAATTCTTTATTTAACCATGCATGAAGCATGGTTAAATAAAGAATGCAACTTAAAAAGTATTAAATTGTTTTTTATTAAGTAGTCATTTATAAAATGCATCTTTTTCAGAGATAACTCACCATGTAAATCCAAACATATGCAACGAATGTCTGATCTGTCTCTTTCTGTGCATAAAGAAATAAACGTTGAAAATTTCAGTTTGAAACAACATTTAATACAAATATAGTTTTGACCAGAGTAATGAAACTTGTGAATCTTTTACTTTATGTACTTTAACTTTTATGCCAGTTTTTCATAACTGCAGTTCCAGTTTAGAGCCATGGAAAAAATAGAAAACATAAAGTAAAACTACATCCTGTGATTCAACAGCTGTCACTTTTAGCAGCACTAACGTAAAGCAGACATTACTGTCTTGAGCAGTTACTGTGAGATATTTGTACATTTAATTAGTTTCAGACATGGTCTTGCAAATTATTGCTAAAAATGTCTCATGTCTCATAATATTTCCCAGACTGATGGACATTTATCTCTGTAATGTCCACCGTAATGTCTTTCCGACTTGGCATTGTGTTAATAAACACTTGTCTTCTCTGGACCAACAAGCTGCTGAAATTATTGATTTTCAAGGGAAACCATTTGAAATAAAACAGATTCCTTAGAGAGAGGGCAATTGCTATAGTAAAACAGAATCTAACAAAAAATAAATATCGTTTATGACTTATTATAATATAATAATTTAACATGAGAATCAAAGTAAAAGAAAAAAAAATTAAAAGTCAGAAATTTAAAATCCCCAACAAAAATCAAAAGAACCCTGTCAAAAAAAAAGAAAAAAAGAAAAAGAACATTATGGCTTACCACATCCAGGATGGCATAGACCATCATTTCAAGGTATAAGAATGTTTTATGTGTATGATCTTTAACAGGTCTGCTCACGGTGAAGGTTTCATTATCTTTGTTCAAATGCAGATGATTTAGAACATCCTTGTAACTGCAGGTGGATGCTGCAAACAGAATAAAAACTTTATGATAAGAGAAAAACGGGAAAACCACAAAATGCAATCATGTAAAGCTTTGTGTGTAAAGTGGCAAAGCACAAAGTCTCATTGTGTTGTTATGGTTCCTTATCGTAGCCTGACAGTTGAAAAACTCTCAACCAAGAATTCACAAGTTTAGTTAAAACTGCCAGAGAGTTGACTGTAAAGTGAAACGTAAAATTTTTTGTTGAAGCAATGAGCTGGAAAGTAACATTGTTTCATCGGATCTCTTTCCTTCATTAATTGAAGGAAGAAATTTCTGTCTCCACATGTGCAAAGCTGGTAAAGATTTATCTAAAAAGACCTGCTGCTGTTTCTGCAGTTCTGCAAAATAAATACACACAAGACAGTTTTCTCTTTTTTAATTGTGAAAAAATAATTAAATCCTTTCAATTTCCTTTCATTTTGAAAGGAAATTGAAAAATTGAAAAATCTACATTAAATTTCCTTTCATTTTGAAATTATTATTTACTCTATGGAGGTCACTTACATAAGTTTGAAATAAGAACAATTGAATCCTGTGATTGTAACATAAGTTATTTTTCTACTATCCAGCTCTGATACATTTCCTCCTAAAGGGTTTAAAAACGGAGATTAACATGATTACATTACACACAATAATTTACAAGAAACAAATGAGTCAGGGTTTACCTTTTTTATCAGAAGTCTGGTTTGATGTCAAATTTGAAAAATCTGTAAATACATAATTTGTTGCATTTTCAAGTGTCACTGGAAAAAAATCACAGCATAAATTGTTTATAGATTCTATCATTCATGTTAGACTATTACAATATTTTCAAGACAGCAATCAGAGCAGATTGATTCACAGAAACTGGATTACCTGAAATGTTGTTAAAGCTCTGACTGGACATCAGTGGGTCATCATAAACATCTGGTGAAACACAGCTGCCTAACAGTAGAACACATATTTCTTTGAGTATTTTCTGAATACATAATTTACATCGTCATCAATAAAAATCCACCTTTGTGTTGGACGACAAACACGTTACATTGTTTAACACGTCCACTCAATTTAAAATTTCATACAACCTTTCTTTGGCTCTATTTTTTATTTTCAAAAGGCATTTTCATAATTCATTTATCTTTTTTTTATTAGCTGCTGCTTTTATTAGCTGCTTTTATGTGTTAAAATTCACCCATTCTATTTTGTGTTTAAAACACATCAGTGATGCTTGGTCAACAGTCAGAGCTCCAAGCAGTGGCTGCTAGTGATCCACTTTGAACTGGTTCCATTCAGAAATCTAAACGTTTATAAAAAAAAATATCTGGTATTTCTCATTTTTATAATAATACAAATTTACAAATCAGTGTATCGACACTGAGTTTGATTAAAATATGGACCTTTCTACATTAGTAATCCACAGAAAAAATAGTGCAGCTATTTTTTTGTTGCATATTTGGTCTGATAAGCAACAAACACACAAAAACAATCTGAATACATAGATGCAATTAAGATTTTTATAAATATTTATTATTCAGCTCAATCAAATGTTACCTATGAATAGGGGTCAAAAATCCCCATGCGAACAGCATCTCTAAAATATTAATTCAGTTACTTATCGCAACATACAAAGTTCAATCCAATTCATACTCAATGAGGCCATGAAATTTTTACTCAAACAACTAAAGACGTTCAGACGACAGAAATATTCACTGCATGAAATGATCTCATCTTACCTGTGAGGAGAAACATGAAGCAAGTTAAAGTAAAAATCATTGTCTGAGAGGTCAGTCTGCAGCTCTGTCCTGTTTGATGTGATGCGTTAAAATCTCTATCAAGAAAAGCCAACCTCCTCAGCACTTGGAGTCTCTCTGTTTAACAGCATTTCTAATTTCCGTTGTGGTTTGGGATGAAAAGATAGGAGAAATGGAAGAGATTCTCTTCCAGGAAGTAAAGAAAAAAAAAACTAATAAAACGTCCTTTTAGCAACAGTCAACAAAGTACTGAGGCCACAATGCAAGATGTCAGTGATTTAAAGGCTTCTGAAAATAAGTGAAAATAAGTTAATACATTATTTTTAAAGATTTAATGAAGTATTTTTAAAAATCTCATTGAACTTGGGCTATTTGTATTAATATTTTATAAAAAGTTAAGGTTCTAGGCGTGGAAAAACTTTAACTTCTTCACATCAAAAACTCAAAAGGCGGTTCTGCAGTGTTGATTTAGAGGCTGCAATACAAATGCACTCTTTTCAGATTTTATTAGAAAGAAAATTTGCAATATTCATGTTTTATGACAAAGACGATTGCAGTTAAAGTGCTCTGTTCTTGTATGAAGCCTGACTGGTGTGACTGAAACTAGCATATAGATGCCTCACTTATGTGGAATTCCGATATTTTAGTTTTAAACGGGAAAGAGTTTAGAAAGAGAAAGAGTTTTCTAGAGTAATAAGATCACCATTTTTTGACAAGAACTGCTGCAAAGATCCAAGAGTAATGGATCTTTCCTTAAAAATGGAGGAGGGCCTTCTTTATGAAAAGTGTAGCTTTTATTCATAAAATGTATCTGATTTGGTCTGGACCAGCAGAATTGTGAATGTCCAAACATTTTGAACTTGGAAGAGACTAATCATGTAGGTTAAAATCACCAATTAATGCTCTTAATCGCTAATAATTATCTTGTTATGCTTGTTTCTGAATAATCGCTGCTCTCACTGAGTGACATGGCTGCCCATTTTTTTTATCATAATCACCCATTTTCACAACGTCTTGTGCTTCTGTTCTGGTGATTTGGACATGTCACATCAAGTCATGTTCATCTCTACCTGAACGTTATGGGTTGACATTAGACTGTCAAATCTCTTCCTGAAGACTTGGCTGGTTTAATTTGTTGCCATCCAAAGGAAACAATAGTTTTTGAAGGTTTGCCTTAAATATATCCAACTGCTTGCTATCAATTAAGGTTATTTAGCAAAAAAAAATAAAAAAAAACATATTTTTGATGGTCTGATAGACGAACGCATAAAAAATACAGAAACCAGATGTAAAAAGAATGTTTTTAAACTATTTATTTGTGGAGGCTGTTCAACATTTGAAATAGCAACTATGACTGCAAAACTATGCATTTTATTTTAATGTCAGATAAGAATCAGTGGTTCTTGTTATGCTACCTATAGCATGACACATAGCTTCTGAGCGTTAAAAGAATTTTACTTTCAAAGTAAAAGCACACATTTCAACATGTTATAATTGATTTCTCAACCATTTATTCAGTTTAATGGTTAACAAATTTCTGGTGGTTTAGCACAATATGTAACAGATTTAGGAACAGGCTTAAATGCTCTGGATAAACCATGAAGATTTTAATTTACAGACAGATGAATTGGATGTTTATCTCGTAGCACAACATGTAAGATCATAAAATAATGTTTGTGACTTCAGAAGGTCCCATCAGTTTCTTAAACACTTTCTGTAACTATTAAAAAAAATGCACATAGTAACGCTTCACATATAACCACACAATTCAATAATTCATACTGCAAGTCTTTTTGCTTGGATTATTGTGAATAGCACATACTGATTCACTTTACAGGTATAACCATGTTTACTTTTAATAACACTGTTGCACAAATCACTGGCTTTAGCAATGCAAAACTGTGCAGTGAGGAAAAAAAATAAATGATCAGACAACACACAAACACTTCTTGAAATCAATAAAATGCGCAAACGTTAAAAACGCCAATGTTCAAAATGAATAAAAAGTAACAGTTTGTTTATTTAATCACTACTCATCTGCAGAATACCACACTATAGAGACATACAGTAAAAACAGGACAGCTGCAATGACATAAAAAACTGTAAAAGCCTTGTTTATTTTCTGTGCAGTTCTGGTCCAATAACCCACTTTATCCTCTTCCTGTCTGCCACTGAGAAGAGTTATTGATTTCTTGACTGCTCCAAGCTCATCTGACATCTTTTCGAGTGCAATGAAGACTTCTGTATCAACGCCCTTGATGCCCTGCAGACATGTTTGTCATAAAACTCATATATGAACATCATTCAGAAAGGTGCTACTTTTAAAGTTCTTACCTCTTTTACAATAGAAAGCCTTCCATCAGCTGAGTGTTTGTCAACAGATGCACAGTTGCTACGATTCTTAATTCCTGGAAAATGAAGCACATTTTGTTCAGGCTTGATCATTTGAATCAAAGCAGAACATGACTGAGTGAACATTTGAACTGATTAAAGTTTGATCTCACCAGTAAAACATGTGTGTGAGTTGGTCAGTTTCTCCTCCTGATCTTCAATTGGGTCTCCTGACTTTTCCTGTTCATTGTCCAGCCACGCATCTCTATTAATTAGATGAATCACCAAAATAGTTTCCAACAGGCTGAGCAGCATTAGAGCAAAAGTCCCAATGCAATAAACCGCTGAGGGAGAGCAAACAGATAATAAACATATGTTGCTCCGGCATGTTAAAAGCAGATATTTATATACAGCAAGTATAAATACAAATCCACATTTTTCCCACTACCTGAAGTTAAATCAGATCAAATCTCTCTTCTTTTTGGCATAGTTAGAATTACCAAAACTATTTACATTTAATAGAACAATTCTGAAAAGAGCATTTTTTCTAGGTCTTCATCTGTAACGTTCTTTGACTTCAGATGTTTACATGCTTTGTTACATTTTGAGTATAAACAGGGGATGCTATTATCGCCTGGTGACAGCATGATGTTGTGGGGCTGCTTTGCTGCAGGAGGAATTGGTGCACTTCCTAAAATGGATGGCATCAAGACCTGAAGACCTGGCATCTGAAAAACCTGAAGGGGAATGAAAGAGTAAGGCAACAACAAACCTGACAGACCAGAACTTCAGCAAACTATTATGATTATAAGGCCCTCTGATAAGGAAATCTGATAAGTTTCACCCAAGACATACAATTTAAAGTAGGTCTGACCAAATGTATGCAAGCTTCAGAATTTGAAGAAAGTTACAAAAACTCATCCTTAATAAGCTTTTTGACATTTAGCAAATCTAAACAATTTTAGGATTTCTAACTAAGCTAAAAGAAGAAAAGTTTGGTCTGATTTAACTTCAGACCAGTGAACAAAAATGTGATTGTGTCTTTTTATATAAACATCTGGTTTCAGCTGTATTTGTAAAAGAAAAAATGCTAAACCTATTAAGGGAATCTTATCCGAAGAAGATGGAAGAATGTCATTGAGAATGAGCTGCATCACTGTGACGGCAAGCAGAATGGTGATTTTGAAGCCAATCTTCTCACCACCGGTGTCTGACATCAGGAGGGAGGCGAAGTCCAGACACAGGAAGAAAAGGACAGGCACCAAGAAGTTTGCAATGTAGAGAGCAGACCTCCGCTTCATGTTTATCTGAAAAAATGTAGGAGAAATTAATTTCTTTCCATTCTGCAAAAACATAATATATACAATGTGAGAAAGCATTTGAAGCAGACCAATTTATAGAGAGAAGCCAGAAAAGACAACACATTCAGTGATCACCAGTTCAGAGCCATTTGATGGGGTAAAATTGCATCATGTATTGACTATAAAGCTGCAATAACTTTTATATAAATATGTTCTTGCATATTTGTTGAAACTGGCACTATATGTTGACAGTGTAATATGTGATCTGTGAAAAAAATCGAGCTTCTCTGCCTCCTGCTTGTGGTCCTGCTGCCATTTGCAGAAATACACCAAAACAAATGGCCAGAAACAACCAGTCAGAGCAAGGAGGAGGGCCTTAGCACTGCCAGTCAAGCTCCTGTATGCACTGTTCACCTCACACCCTCCCAGTCAGTGCGTACAAGCGCTGGCTGTGCAAATAGTGAAGAAACAAGTTATTGCTTACTTATCGGCGCATTCATGACGGGCTCCCCTGTGGAGGTGGAGCTTTTGGCCCAGCAGAGAGAAAAGGGGAAGGTATGAACATCATACACATGAGTGTGATTAACAGCTCTAAAACCTTCCTCCTGGCTCCCACAGAAAAACAACCAATTTGTCTTATACAATAAATTTGTCTGGACTTAAATTCATGCAAATATGAAGGGAAAAAATACATTAAGACATTACGCTGAACTGTTAGAAATACTTACTGTGTAAACAATCATTGTTTGATTGAAGCCAAAATGGTTGACGGTTTTCCTTGTGACTGTCATGCTGAGAAACAGCCACTCATACTGCGACTCCATAGCTTTTCGAGACCACTCTGAGATCTCCGAATTGTTCTTGTAGTAAAATAACTTTATCTCTTCATCTGAGTCAGAAAAATAGACAAACCAAAACGGCTTTATAGATTTCTCCCATCATGTTATCATAGAAAATTAACTTGTGGAATATTTCTTTTGGTATGCAAAAGAAATATTCTTTTGCATGGAAGAATGTCATTGTCATTTGGTATGCAAAAGAAATATTCTTTTGCATACCAAAAAAAATATTGGTATGCAAAAACCAATATTGCATACTTCAGTTTATAGATTAACTGACAATCTATAAAGTCAGTTAATACATGTTTACCTGAGTGCATAATGGACTTGAAGGAGAGGTTGCAGCTCTGAACGTCGAATGGGAATTTGTAAACACGCATCTTGCATGTGCTGATCACCACCTGGTCATTTCTGAATTCAACCCAGCCGTAGTTCCTGATGTTGAGATTAGGACTTGGAGAGGCTTTGTCCTGCTCTGTCCTACAGAACAATAAATACAGACAATGATCTTCAAATTAAGCCACTGTGGTGTGTCTCAGTTAAACAATTAGACAATGTTGCTCGTTTTTACCAAGTGCTTTGGTTGGAAGCAAAAATATAATTTTAATGTTATAGTGGATTCGTTGGAATTTGAGTTAGCAGAATTTTATAACATGATTTTCTCTAATGGACTCGATTTTGGCTTGATTATTTTTGTTCAGTGCCATCTGTTTAGGAATGTGAGCAAATATGAACTGAATACCAACTTACATCTCCTCAATAGTCATATCTGGCATCCACAAATATTTAGTGGGGACTAAGATATGTGTGGTTCCACAGAATTGCTCCGGGTCCCACCAGATGTGCTCATTGTCCCATCTCTACTTAGGAGAAAGATGAGGTTGATGTTACAAATAAGAGACGTAGGGATAGAGAATACTTTTTTTTTAAGTACCAAGAAAAGTCTAGTTTAAATTAAAATTTAAAAAAAACAATCTTCACAAAATTGGCAAATGTGTAAGGTAAGTTAAACTCACCAAGTAAATCCAAATATATGCAATGAAAGTCTGGTCACTTTCTCTCTATGAAGAAAGGAAAAAAGTTGAGTGATTTTTATTCTTTTTTCCATTAGCAAAATAGGATCCGACATTTAACAACAACTACATGAAAAAGCGCTTAAATCATAAAAAACTTTATCAGCCTGTCCAGCCTTAGAAGTGATCAGGTTCTCAAAGAAAAGAAAAAAATAAAATTCAGTGGAAAATACTTCCTCTTAAGTCAAAAGTTTGATGATATATAATACTTAAACAATAAGTAATGTTACTGTTATCAGTCCTATATTCATTTATACAGTATCACAAACCTCTACGAAATCTGGAAAAGTACATCTGTTATGATTATTTATACCAAGCATTGCTGGACATTTTAAAAACTTACCACATCTAGAATAGCATAAATCCTCATGTCTAGAAGTACCCACGTCAAATGACTTTGGTGTTTAACGGGCCGACCCACAGTGTACTTGTCACTGTCCTGGGTCAGATTCAGGTGGTTCAGAACAGCCTGAGTGCTGCATTCTTCTCGAGAATGAACCTCATGTTCTGAAATTACAGGAAGCATGAAAGAGTTCACTTCTTATCAAAAACAATAATGAAATGTTGACTTTCACTCCTGTTTTAACTTTTGGAGAAAACTTCACTGTTTTCTCCATCGTGGTTGTTACGACTTGTCAAAATTACTTAGTTTGAACAAAAATGATTACATACCAATGTTTTGAAGTATATTTAAAGTTTCAGTATTTATAGTCAAGCAGTTTGTCAGTAAATCTAAACTAAACCAGATTTCTATAAAATATGGATTTTTAACAAAACTGCATAGAAACAGATAAGCTGGTTGTTGAAGTAATTATTTGCCAAATTTTGCATCCTAAAATAGCGTAGACAGAACTTTATATATATTTATATGTTATAATATCCACTTACCTCGAATTTGCTCAAAGACCAGCTTCATATTTTCTATGCTTGGGTTCTCCATTAAATTTATATCTATACTTGCTGAAAAAAAGAGGATAGTGTTTTTTCTCAGTAAAAACACAGATAAACTTTAAAATAATACAGAAATGTTCCATCATGTTATATGCACTTCTGTAAATAAAATTCATGAAAACATATTTACTTTATTCCCACATTATATTTGGTATTCACAGCTCATTACATGCCATATGTCATTGTCAAATTATACAAATCGTCCCTCTCTATTTTATTATTGTGATTGTTGAATAATTTTCTGTAAAACATGAAATAACATATTTATTGAATTATTCAGGAATTCTTTTGTCTCCACAAATGGGTGTAAATTTGCTTAAAGATTAAAAACAGACTCTCCTTTCAGGAGATTATTAACATTCCCCAAAATAGTTTTTAGCTTTAGACAATGTGAGTAACAACAATAAGATCATTAATTATGAGAGCAAACAGTACACTGGGTTTGGTTTTTAAATTTATCCAATTTTAAGCGATTTAAGTCATTGAGTTTGGTACCAGGCATTAACAGCAAGGGTTCATCAAAGTCTGGATCAGAGGTATTTCCACCTGACAGAAAGAGAGACACAATAACACACAATAATAAAGAATAATAAACAATATTACAGGATAAAATCTGTGTTAATATAAAGAATATATTCTTATATAGTTTAGTTTACATAGTTTTTACATAGAATATATTCTTTATATTCTTTATATAGTTTGTGCAGAATGTTAGTAAATCCACCCATCAATTCTACATCACTGCTTATCTCTGTATTTTAAACTGCATTAGATCTAAACACTGATGTTTTTAATTATTTACAACTACCTCTCTCAATGACTTACAGATAGTGAAGGGAATAATGCATATAATCATTTGAATTTTCTGTTTTCTTTTGTAACTGCTATAAAAGTAACCCTGAACTATTAAAATAAATACCTTGATTTTCAATGTTTCTTCTCAAAAGTTATGACAAGCATACCTTTATTAAAGTAAATTATTTTGTTAAACATAGCAAACAATGCTTCCTCTACTCACTCCTTCCAAAATAAATAACTCCTTTCAGGTGATACAATTCTAGAAACTCTAAAAACGTGAACATTGCTATGAAATTTGTCACAAACTTTACAATAAAATCCAAAAATTACATCACATATTTACCTCTATACATTAATTTTGCTTACCTGCAAGGAGAAACAGAGTAAAGAATCCTTCCAGAATCATGTTTGTGAGGCTGTTGAGTTTCTCTGTTGACTGAGTGAAAATGTTTCTTGTTGCTTTTGTGTCACTGCCCTGCCTGTACTGGAGGGATGGCAGGGCGTAAATTACATTACGCCGTTTATTTAATTGAAGGATCTGCATTTGGTGCAGTGATTTTGAGTTTTTTGAGTCTGGTGTATGTTTTCAAAACTAACACAATAATTTAATCAATCATTCAGCATTTAATGACAATGAGATTAAGGAAACAGGAAACATTTGTTACCACAAGAAAAGAAGAACATTCCAGAAAACGTTTCTTACATAAAATCACAATTAAAAACTATATTGATCTTCTAATCTAAATAATAAGTACTAATATTTGTACCAAGATTAAATAGTTATGCAAAATAACCAACTGTTTATTGTTTTTGTGTGTGTGTGTGTGTGTGTGTGTGTGTGTGTGTGTGTGTGTGTGTGTGTGTGTGTGTGTGTGTGTGTGTGTGTGTGTGTGTGTGTGTGGTTGTACTACATTGAAGAGCTAAGTGCTCCAGTAAACACCAACTTCCACATTAGGTTTTTTTAATAGCAGGATGTGGGAAAACAAAGCTTTTAGATGAACATAATATTTTTTTACCATAACAAGATGTCAGAAACAAAACCTAAGTTTATAGAAGTAAAAGAGAATGGGATGTATCGCAAATGTGTTAATGTTTGTGTGTGTGTACATGAAGATAGATAGATAGATAGATAGATAGATAGATAGATAGATAGATAGATAGATAGATAGATAGATAGATAGATAGATAGATAGATAGATAGATAGATAGATAGATAGACAGACAGACAGACAGACAGACAGACAGACAGACAGACAGACAGACAGATAGATAGATAGATAGATAGATAGATAGATAGATAGATAGATAGATAGATAGATAGATAGATAGATAGATAGATAGATAGATAGATAGACAGATAGACAGACAGACAGACAGATAGACAGATAGACAGATAGACAGATAGATAGATAGATAGATAGATAGATAGATAGATAGATAGATAGATAGATAGATAGATAGATAGATAGATAGATAGATAGATAGATAGATAGACAGACAGACAGACAGACAGACAGACAGACAGACAGACAGATAGATAGATAGATAGATAGATAGATAGATAGATAGATAGATAGATAGATAGATAGATAGATAGATAGACAGACAGACAGACAGACAGACAGACAGACAGACAGACAGACAGACAGACAGACAGACAGACAGACAGACAGACAGACAGACAGATAGATAGATAGATAGATAGATAGATAGATAGATAGATAGATAGATAGATAGATAGATAGATAGATAGATAGATAGATAGATAGGCTCTATATGCTCTATAAGTTGATGTTGAATCAGTTATAAATCTTGCATAAACTTCTGAATATTGTGAATACTTGTTTTTTTTTTTTTGTATTATATTTCCTAATTTGAGTGTCGATTTTGACAATCAGTCGTACATCTGTTTATCCTCTGACTTTTCAAAGTGCTGCTGACTCTGACCACAATGAGAACTTATGAATTAATGCTCTCAGAAAGAAAGCATTGATGGTAAGTTGACAAGCCATAAATGCTGAGGGTGTTGGCCTCGTTTAGCAGTCATATCGACACAAAAAGCTCTGAATAGTTCAGAGAAGAGAAAGCTGCCCTCAGGTCAGAGCCATGGTTCTTGCATTCATCTGTCTTCTGCTCTTTGCAGGTAAGCTGAGTTTTGTTCTAGACTAGACACATGCTTCTTAATAATCAGAGGACATTGTACTTGTCTTCATTATGTAATAGAAGTGAGAGTTTTTCAAAATTAATTATGTTTGCTTCAACCACTAAAACTTCATCACAATGCAGGAGGAGTTTACTAAGAAATTTCTGGGACCTAACTTACAATAAAAAAAAGTTCAAAGGCCTCAAAGATTTAGATAATTCAATTTTTATTCTACTAATTATTTGTTCAAGTTTTTTTCACAAATATTTATTTCAAGACCAGCAATCAATTGTTGTTGAATGTCTACAAAAAGAGCAGGATCAGAAAAAAACAAGGTAGAAGATTTTCACCTTTTTCCTTCTGCTGTTCAGTTTGTGGAAGCAAATGTGATCGTTTCATTTTTGATTTTCATGGAACCTCAATGATGAAATTGGTTGTAAAGCAACTGGATGCACTCTGACCTTTGTAATATTTTGGTTTCTGGTTCTTTGGCTTGGTTTTTCAGGCTTGACCAACCAATCAAACGTGTTTTATTTCTGTGACCTATTTTCCAGCATTTAAAACACGATGACTGAATTTAACCCTCCTTAGCAAATTGCCAGTTTGGGGAGATTCTTGCAATAATGTCCTGTTTTTATATACAGGCTTAGAATATGCCTTGTTAACATATTCCTTCACTTTCTAGTTTGGAACATTTTTGTCAAGACTGGGTTTTTGGGTTTCTTTTTGCTTTTCATTTTATTTATCAATTATGTTTTAGTTCACTCTTTGATTTATTCTTCTTGATTATTGTCATTAATTCTTGTTAGATATTTCTCATTTTTGTGTTTCTTTATTTCAGTGTTCTTTAGTTCCTATTATTTTTAGATCAGTCTTGTTTCTGTTTGGTTCTTAGTTTCCCCTTATGTCTTTGTCTCTTTATAGTTTATTATGTTTCCTTTAGTCTTAGTGTTTCTTTATTATTAGAATAATTTCCAGTTCCTTGTGTTTCCCCCCTCACTCTATTTTGTGTTCCCCTGTATATATTCCCTGTTTCCTGGTGCCACCTTGTCCCAGCCTGACTCCTGCTCCAACTATTCACACCTGCAATCAGTTACCTCATCAAACCAGGCCCCTGGTTTCCACTCTTTACCTCCCAGTTCCTCTATTTCACCTGCAATTTTCCAGTTCATCACTTCCTTGATATGCTAGTCACCTTGCTGTACATTTGCATTCAACCACTATAGAAATATATTCTCTCTTTTTTTTTTTTCTTTGAAAATGAAGCGTAACATAAAATAACACTATATGATTTCTGTTGTCAGGTGGATTGACATCCAGTTTAGAAATACAAGATGATCTTGATCACCAGCTGAACTCTAATCAGAGTTACACAAATCTATCAGGTAAGAAATGTAATACAATGGATTTTCGATAATCTCTGAATGGCAGTTATTGTCATCAATGAATATTTTTACTGTAAGATTCATTGCAGCTATTTTGTTTCTTTGTATAAGTGAAGTTTTGATCAACTTGTCATCATCTGGTCAACATAAGAGCCTCTGTTACTGTTTTAGCCTCCTGCTTTAAAAAATTTATCGGAGTACAGATTAATATATTTTTTGCACCATTTAATCACAAAAAGTGTGATTATAAAATAATTTACAAATACATAATTTTATTTTTTGCTTGACAGATGGGAATACCACAAGTTATAATACGTCTGCTTATAATAACGAGACATCTGACGAGGAATTAGATGAAACTGGTAAGACCAAAATAATGTTTGAACACAAAGCTACAAAAAAACTATTTAGATATTACTAGATAACTTTGTTTTAAAATATTTTGGCCAACAGTTTTCATGTCAGAAGACCATTGTGTTGGTGACTTTTCAAAAACGGCGTTAAATTAACATAAACATCCCATTTATTATTCTGAATAATGAACACACAGCTGCTTATATGCTTGCATCCGTTTATTATTCCTCTGAAGAACAACATTGTAAAAACTTCAGGTTTAAGGTGACATTTTTCCCCACAGTGACACAAAATTAGTGGAATACTTTGGGTTTTTTTCTAGATTTTGATTAAAACCAAACATTGGAAACATTCTTTACATTGTCATCCTCCTTCCAGGTTAATCTGAAATTTGTTTGCTTTGCCTATGATTGGATTGTTGTCATTATAATCTTAAACAATGTTATTTGCATTTAAAGTTAATGTCCATCTATAACCCATTAGATTTTTTTTAATCTTTTACTGCTCTTTATCTGAATGAAACATGTTTTTAATATTCTTTCCAACTGATCTGTTGACAGTTAAAATTTTCTCATTTAGACACAGATTTTATTGAAGCAACACGGATTTTAATCCATCTGGATTTTGTCTGAAATATGGCTTGAATTTCATAAACACTGATGGAAATATGAGTTTTAAAATACTAAATGGATAATTATAACTTGATCTGAAATCTTTTAACATAATTTAAAACTAAGTCTTTAATGTAAAAGTATATTGGTAATGAGAAACCACAAGAATACTAGAACACAATTTTCTAATTTTACCAAACCTCTTCCCTTTCTGGTGAATTTGGTGCAGAATAATAGGCTTTCTGTTTTTGCAGGAACTAATTGTAGCTACCGGGATGTTCTGAAGTACCTGGACCTGGCCAAGGACAATGAAGCATTGACCATGAGCAGACCTGTTAGACACTATAAAGAGAAAACTGAAGTTTACATTGAAATGAGGATTTATGCCATTCTTGATTTGGTAAATTCTTGTCTAAAGTTGTCATTTTATTTTTGTTCAAATTCATTTTAGTTTGTTTAGCTTTGGAACAAAATTTTATTTTCATATAATTTTTTTTTAAGTCATGTTTACTGTGGTTCTCCTGTTGCCATTTTTAATGTGGAATATTAAGAAATGATTGCAAGATCTTAAGTTGTTGTTTGATAATAAAATCTGTATGCCAAATAATGACTATGGTGCATACACATTTAAGAATGTATTATTAGCTTCATGTAGAACAAGACCTACTATTAGTACTAAAATTAAAAGCACTAATTGCAATCTACTCTAAATGTCTAACAACTGATAATGGTTCTCTTTTTTCTTTTTTTTTTTTTTTTTTTTTTTTTTTTTTATTCAGAGAGAAGTTGACCAGTCCTTTATATCATATCTTTGGTTTCTTATGGTGAGTTTTCTCAGAAAACATGACAAATTAGCTGATGTTTGATTAGGAATCAAGACCATTGACTCCATTTTGTTTTTCTCTAACAAGGAGTGGGAAAATGACTATGTCTCCTGGAGTCCAGATGACTTTTGTGGACTTTCCAAAGTAGTGGTTCCACGTAAATCTTTGTGGATGCCTGATGTCATAATTGAAGAAATGTAAATCTGCTCATTTTATGTTTTAGGTTATTTGAGTGTTTTTCTGGCTTTGTCCACTGGTTTCTTATGTTTTATGTTTTTGCTTTACTTTTTTAGTTCAGTCTTTCTTATTTTGTTTATTCCTTGTCTAGTTTTTCTTTGTTGCAGTTAAGTTAATTGTATCTGTTCCCCTGTTTGTGTGCTCTCTCTCCTCACACCTTCAGAGAGAAGTTTTATTCAACTTCTCTCTGAATAAAAAAAACAATCAACCCAGACTATTGGTTCAGCATTCAATATTCAACTTACTCCTTGCTTTCTTCATTTGGATGGTTCTTTGTGTTGCTTTTTGTGTCCTCCTGGCTGTATTTTTCCCCAAAAAAATTATTTACTCTCCTCCTCTGCTGCTTTTGCATTTGGATCCATCGTCACAATTACATAAACATGATGTTAAATTTAAAACCTGGTACACTGAGGTATCTCAAACTGTGGCAAAGTGGAAGGTTCTTTCCTGCCACAGAACAAAATGAATGAATGAACAAAAAAAATTTATCCCAGCCATGAAGGCATTGAAACAGATTACAAACACAATATTTCTCTATTGGATTATACATTTAACCAATCACACAGTACATCATCGGACCAGTAGCATAAGTAGCATTTTGAGTGCGACTCCATAAGTGCACTGATTTTTTTTTTTTTTAAGTTTCTTTTTTTTTTTTTAACTTCTGTTTAGACATCAATTGTTTAACTTCAGTGATGCACAAACAAAATTTATGTAAACATTTCAGAAAGTCAAGTTATCTCAGTGTCTGAATGAGGCTATTGACCAAATGGTTTGAAGTAACATTGGACCTAACCTTTTTATTTTCTTACAGGACTGAAAAGGATAAAAACGTGCCGAGCCCCCTTGTCACCATTCATCATGAAGGCTGGGTGGAGTACAGAGATGATAAGTTTGTGATCAGCACCTGCAAAATGAACATTTTTAAATTCCCCTTTGACATTCAGAGCTGCGATATCACCTTTAAGTCGATCTCATACTCTGGTAAGCCTTGTTTACTTGTGCTTTAAAATATCAGCATTTTATGACCGTGTAGGTGTTGTATCAGACATGTGGTACCTAGGATTAGTGAGCTGTTAAGTCAACACGAAACAATGATTTTATCTGTATTTTAATTATTGTGGCAGTGGCAGCTACAAGTTTCCCTTCTGGTGTCGGCTGCTTGAAGCTGCAGAGCTTACTAATGTCAGCTTCCAGCAATTGTGGCATCTGCCATGGCTTCTGTGGCAGATTGATTTTTGAATATAAATATATTTTGAAAAAATAAAAATACAAGAATACAAATGCATATATATGTACATGCAGCCACCACTGATTTTGTGGCAGTTGCCATTAAAGCTGTTGTATTCACTGGCAGGTTACTGTCACTAAAGTAGTGGGATCTGCCACAAAGCCATGGCAGCTGTCACAGAAGCTGTTTTCAGATTAATTTGAATTGCGTAATCTCATATTTATTACTAAATCAATCTGATGTTTGTTTTTTCATCACAGATGAAGAGTTGCACTTTATCTTAAAAAAAGACAAAGCAGTGATCACAATGGACTCTCATAAGAATATCCGGATGCAGTACGAATGGAAGTTTCTCGATATCTCAGTCATTGAAAAAAATGGCGATAGCTTTTACACCAACCAAACAGTTGTTGCCTACACTGTAAGTATTTCAAAGACGGGTCACATAAGGTTTTCTATTTTATTCTGTTCTTCTATTTTACTTGCTCTGTGCTGAGCCAAGTCACGCTTTGTTTTCTACCTGATTTAGGATGATTTAAGAGTCAAATTCAGTTTGTCTCTCCCTGCAATAAAAGTGATCAGATCCGTCTGAAATGTTATTTTTAATTCATGAAGCAAATGATTTCATCCCTTCTGTTGCCAGGATCACAAAACATCCTCAGTGGATACTATACTGTAGAGAGACTGGATTTTGACAGACATGTGGAACAGCAATGCTTCCCCTACTAAAGCTGCAGTCTACATTAGCATCAGATTATCAATGGAAAATTGTTTACCTTTAGTAATTTGCATTCACTTTTATTGTTTAAAATAAGTTTTGATTGGGTGCGGGGGTGGCACAGTGGTAGAGCGTGCAACCCAGTTAGGGTCCCGGACCATTGACCTTTGTCACATGTTTTCCTCTTTTTTTCATAGCTCATGTTCCTGCCTGACAATTGTCAAAGGCTACTAGTGTTGACAAAGTTTCAAAAATAATAATAAATGAATAATTTTTACTAAAAAATTTTGCTGATCTTATTTTACCCATTTTAAAATAATCATACAGAAGTGATTTTAACCATGTAACATACCTCTTTACAGATAACCATGAAGAGAAAGTCTGCATTTTATGTGGTCAACTTTCTGCTGCCTGTCCTCTTCTTCTTGTGTCTGGACTTTGCCTCCCTCCTGATGCCGACTGGCAGTGGAGAGAAGATTAGTTTCAAGATCACGGTGCTACTTGCTGTTACAGTGATGCAGCTGATTCTCATTGAAATTCTACCTTTTACCTCAAGCAGGATTCCACTTATAGGTAAAAATCTCATAAGTCTCCAGGTAACAAGTAGTGACCTGCAGAGTTTTCCTACCCATTAAATCTTTTCTCATTTAGTTATGTCAAAGTTGTGCATAATTGCAATTGAGTTTTCAAAATTTCAAACATGCACAATTTTAAATGCATATGTAATCAATCTCAGGCTTCCCCATGCAAACATTCTGCAGGCAAAAGAGTTTCATTTTCAATTTCTTCCCTTTCTCAGTTATGTGCCTCTTTGCATGATAGAGCTAATAACACAATTAAATACAAATGCATTTATGGGAGACAAAATGTTAATAGATATAAATTTAGCTGTTTGACTTCCTAAGCTCTTCTATATTAAATGAACACTTAATCATTAACTCAAACGGCTACAAATTAAGTTTTAAAAAATGCACTTAAAAATTATGGATTTAAATTCAACCTGCATTTGTCTCAGAATGAACCAACATTCTCACCATACTGTGCTCTCTGTTCCTCCAAGTGATTTATTGCATTGGGGTTTTTGCTGTGATGCTGTTCAGCCTCATAGAGACCGTTTTCTTGAGTTATCTGATGGAAAAAGACTCATCATCCCTGGAAGGCAAGAAGGAGAGTGACATGCTTCGTAAGAACTAAGATATTCATAAAGATGAAATCAATTTTTACTGCTAACTAAGAGATTAGATTAAATTCAATCTAATCTAAATCTGATTGTAGTTTCTCATAATTTCTTAAACATTTCTTAATAGACAAACACAGATCATGAAGTTGTTGTGTTCACATTCAACTGTCTTCCATTTTCTTCCAGAAATAAAAGCTTCCTCCATTGCCTCCACCTGTGATGAGATGATCGATCAAACACCATCTATGTGCAAAGGGGTTAGTGTAATACAGCATTCAAGTTCCCATAACAGGAGTTTCTAAGCATGTAGTTTGTACAAAACAATTACATAATATTTTGTGTGTGACCCATTGTCTGATTTATAATTTATGGCTCTGATTCATGCAGGGCAGCAGCAGCCAGTTATTCCTGGCCATGGAGAAAGTCTCAGATGAGCTTGCAGAGATTAGAAAAATCGTCCTCAACAAAGAGTCTGAGGAGAAGAAGGATGGTTACTGGACCGGAGTCGCCAAGAAAATAGACAAGATTTTTTCCATTCTATATGTCTTGGCAGCCATTTTGTTTTTATCTGTCCTCTTCTCAGTGTGGGTCTCAAAAGCTTCCCAAAATGGTCCAGCCATTAAACTTGAGGACTGAGCAAACAACATATCCTCATCATGGATCTGCAGGTTCAGTTTGACTGAAATTGAAACTCAACAAATACAATTAGTGACGTCTTCTGGCTTCTACTGCTGCCACTTGCAGAAATAAACCGCTCTTCGTCAGAAACAACTATGAGGAGAGTCCATGTTCATACTGCATCCTGAAGTGATCCAAATCTGATTTTATTTATGTTTTTTTGGGGGGCAAGGGGAGGTTTATCTTTTTTCTTTTGACGTGGTCATTCACATTTCCAAATATATATGATTTATATGTAATTTTCAGTATGAACTGCAGACAACCTGCAATGGTCTTTCATGAGCAGCAGAGGGCGCAGTAGCAGCGTTTTCAGTGTTTTGTCAACCACCAGAAAAAGTCATGTTTGTGGAAGTAAACATGAATGCTAATGGTGAAGATGCAAAAACATTCATGCCTCTTAAATGCTTTTATCTTTTTCCGCAGTACAACAGCAAACTTTCTTCTTTTTTTTAATCTGTTGACAAAAAACTGTAAAGTGCAGCATGCACTTTTATTTCCTTTTGATCTGATACCCATCTGCAGCTGTTGCCTTTGTGGGTCACCTAATCTGTAAATAGTTAACCTGTGTTTAATGTAACCTCAGCATAAATACAACAGTTCTTTGCGAAGCTGCAACCTGGATGCTCCATCCACATGCTGAAGATTGGTGGTGGCAGAATTCTGCAGTTGGCTTGGGAATTTTTTTTTTTATTCAGCAGAGACGGTGAAATGAAGAGGAGTAGGGATAAATACAGAGCAGATTCTCAAAAAACTTGGACCTTTTGACCTTGGATGGAGGTTTTTTCTCTAGCAGGACAGCTACTGATAATGCACAGATGGAGTTACTGTGGAATAGTAGACAAATAAAAGCATGTTTAGATTAACAGTCAAGACCTTAAACATTAACATTTCTTATGCTTTCCATATAATCTAGATTTTGGAAGACATACCTTAAAATTTGTGATTGCAATTTATGGCTAAATGTATAAAAGTTAAACAGTGCAAGTCAAATTATTATTCTAATTTGACTTGCAATAGTCGATGTATATTATATGTATGTTAAGGTCATACATGACACCCAAATGTGTTTGCATGCATTATAACACTCAGCATAAGCATGTTTATTGAATAATAAAATAAGTCTCACTTACAGCAGTAAAGATGTTGTGCTTTCAAGGAGTAACTTATGTGAAACTGCTCACTGCATAAAACTGATTATATTTATGACTTGTGTGGTGTTTTTGTTATATGATTTAAAACATTATTTTAGGTAAGGTTTGGTAATTTAATTTGTATAGCACATTTTCAGCAACAAGGCAATTCAAAATGTTTTACATGAATTAAAAGGAAATACAAACAAAATAAGAAACAAAAGAAAAAACATCTAATAATGTTGTTCTAAAACTATATAATTTAGATAGTCCTGATCTGGGATACTAAATAAGTTTAAGTATCCTCTGGACTTTTATGAGTAAGTATCTTACTACTTAATATGCAAGCAGAGGATACAATGTGATGATTATCTGTTTTCAAAGGAAAAAGTTGATTTGTAATTACTGATAAGACCAAATAAAGAATATATCAGCTGTGTATCACTAGCCTTGTGGTCCTTGCAACTGCATGTATGTGTGTGTGCATTTGTGTTCTTAGGATGTTTATTGTACACATGAACTGTCGTTATATCTTAAATGCAGACAGGAAGCAATTTCACACATTATACCAGGGGGCAGGGGGTTATCATACAGAAAAGTGAGAAAATGCTGATGAATTCAAATACAACTGTAATATAGCTGTAATATGTACAATTACACTGAAAAGGAAACATGTTAGTGTGCTCACAGTCTTAATATAGTACTATTGTTCAGGTTTCAGTTTTAGCACTCAACTTTCTTTTTGTTTCCATCCACATTTTGATTCCTCAATATTTTTGTGAACTTGTAAAGTGAAGACATTTCTTGTTCACGGCTCTCATCAGGTGATCCCACAGATTTTATGTCAGATTTAGCTCTGTACTAAATCTGACACCTTCGAACTGTAAATTTCATTTAATGAGACCACATTTGTGTTGAGTTGGATCTATGCTTGAACCCATCTTACTATTGAAAAACAAAATCCTTTTTTCTTTCTTTCAACACTAGACATGCATTCGCTCTATATATGTAATGTCAAAAACACATCCAGTATTAACCAGAAATTATGTTGTAAAGGACACCCCCATAAAAATAACTTTTAAATGCACAAACATGCTTTGAAAGATATGAAAATTGTGACTAAAGTTCTGGCTGTAGTAATATAATATCCATTGCTCTGGTCGCAGTGTTTCCATTACAAATGTTTCTCTATATTCTGCTAACATCCAAAAACATGTAAATAAACATGCAATGTCATTAAAAATGATCTCAACTGTTCTATGAAATATATTCAGCCATTGCACTATTTCTCTATGGAGGACCAAAACTGACATAAGAAATAAAAGCAAAAGAAATGCAGATATTTTGTTTTGTCTTTTTCTTAAACAAGCCCTCCTTTTGTCATTGCCTCCTCTCGTTTTTCTGCTTTCCCTTTTTCTACTTCTCCTTTTTCTGCTTTCCCTTTTTCTACTTCTTTTTCTGCTTTCCCTTTTTCTACTTCTTTTTCTACTTCTCCTTTTTCTACTTCTCCTTTTTCTGCTTTCCCTTTTTCTACTTCTCCTTTTTCTCTTTTCCTTTTTCTGCTTCTCCATGTGCATCTTTATGTTAATGAGAAGACCTGCCTTCTATGTCCAGCCCCTTTACTAAAAAGCTTTGGAACCAAAGTTGTAGCATAGAACGTTGTGGGGCTTTCACGTCTTGTGCAGTCGCTCTGTTTCATCTTTACAGGCCACAGACCAAATGGTCACCAGAACCACCAGGACTGATCTATGGATGCATAACAACATTTATTTTGACAATAATCGAGAACTATGCAAGTTTTATCTACACTTTTCTACCTGAGGATGAACATCTAATTCAGGAAAAACCCGCAGGGTGAGATTTCCATTTCACGCTGCCAAGCAACCAGCATTCTGGCTCTATTTTCACTTGAAACTATGATACAATACCAAAGATGACTGGTGTTCATTTGTCACCAAAACTTCACCAAATTTAATCAGATCAAATTATTTTATACCAATAATTTTGTTTTCTGAAAATCCAAAGTTTTTGAACTTGGTCACATTTTTAGTGTAGATGTTATCCATCCGGTTTAAGCAGGCAGCAGGACAATCAAATATACATATAAAAATTCAACTTTTAGATAAATATTTCAGAAGCACATATTACTGGTGTGACAGAATTGCTTTAGGTTACTGAAAAATCACATAAATCATGCTACCGTAATAATCTAATAAAGTTACAATGGATCAGAATGGGATCTATTGTGCAGCCGAAAGTATTTGATTTTTGCATATCTGTAAAGTGAATTTGTTTTAACCTGAAGTACTCATTTATTTTAACAGCTTTATTTCACATGTTATTTTACTGTGCTAGTTTGTTATAGTTTCAGCAAACTATAACTTCAAAATGAATTAATGACTTATAAGGGAGGAGTGGACATTTGATAATTATTAAGACTGTTTCCTCTTTCTTTTCTGCTACTGAATTAAATGTTTTTTCAGCTGAACAACTTCTGTTTAATGTGCTTTAATATGGGACAGATATATTAATTGGGTTATAATAAGTACAACAAAATCAGGATGCAGTTATTCAGATGAATGCTGCCTTGGATTATGGCTACATACGGTAAATGAAGACCTGAATTGTTTTATGCAGTGACAATGGAATCACTTTGCCACTCTAAGAAAATGAGAACCAGGAAAAGGCTGGCCACTAGAACGTAAAGAAAAAAGAAAGCTTTGTCAACTCGTGTAGCCACTCTGTTCCAGTAGCCACTCATCTCCTCGTCTTTGTTGGACTTGAAGAGCAGAGTCAACGTCTTCTCCATCGCCCTCAGCTCATCTGAAATCCTCTCCAGGGTGTAGCACTCCCCCAGCAGTTTGCTGCTTCTGTCCTGAAAAAGAAATTTAATAAATCAGTTTACAGAAGGACGGATCTCTTTTGCACTTTTGGTTTTGGTGCACTGATAATGACTGACTACTGACCTCTTTGGCACCAGGAAGGGTCTCACCGGTTTCACTAGAAGACATGTTGTAGATAAATCCACCTGAAGTCCAGTCTTGTGATTCTGAAAGAGAGTTTCTAAATTAATCCTGAAAATTAATACTAAATGGCACAGCAAAAACGTTAAATTTCACCAAGTATTTTTGGTCTCGTTTCTTGTGCAAATATCCAAAACCAACTTTCAAGGAACTTTTCAGCAAGATAGGAGCTTGTTTTCAGTCATAATTTCTTATTATTGATTTAAAAAAAAATACTAGTTCCAACGGCAGATTATTTAACATTAACAAGAGAAAAATGTCTTATTTTATGTAAAATACTCTTACAGTGGATCTATTTTTTTTTTTTTATCAATAGAAATTATTGACTTTAAACAAGCTCTTATATCTAAACTAGACCAAAATTATTTGGTAAGATTTTTTTGTTTTCTTTTTGTTTGTTTTTTGCAGTAAAAAAGTAAAAAAAATAAAAAATAAAAACTTTTACTAACTGATCATAAACAAAATTATTGTACTATAATTAGGGTCACATTGAATGTAACTAAAATTATGTATGGATTGTTTTTATTATATAACATGTAACTTGGAGCTGTTTTTGAAGTGTCTTTAGAAAACAGTTGGTGTCATTTATAGTAATTAAAACAGACTGTGATAAATTGAACTTTATGGCGTTTTATCTTCCTGAGTGCTATTACAGCAGATTTCCTAAGGAGGGCAGCAGACGCACCATTTTTCAAAAGCAGCAGTTTTTATTACGATGCTGGACATTTTCATTGTTTTCATTCTGACCTGTTTGTTTGTTTTTTTTTCACTAGAAAAATACTTTATTCTAAAAGATGTTATTCTTTTATAAAGAATAAATAAATTCACACGAAGTTTCCAAATGAGGTTGCTTGTTTTTGCTTCTCTAAAATTGAGAAATTAACTGAAATAACAAAACAAATTGTAAAATCTTAATTGTTTCACCAGCAAGACATGCAAAGCTTTGAATCTGTGATTTTAATGTTGATTATTTTTAATAATTTTATTGTGTTCAGCATGTTCCATTAATCCTTAAATAAGGTTTTTTTTTTTTTTTTGCTTTAAAATAATGGTAATGTTTTAAAAATTGCAAATATTCTTATAAAATATTCAGGAAGTATTTATTAATGGAATTTTATTTGTGTTATTAATAAACCCATGAAGATGTTTATTATGTTAATAATTGCTTATAAAAGAGGTGACATATTAATATTTAGACCAATAATGGCCAGAAACTATGTAATGTAGAGGAGATTTTTCATCTATTTCACTCAGTATCACATTTTAAATTTAGAGGTTGAGAAATGGAGTTTACTTTCAGAGAAGAAGCTTTAAATGTTAAGATGCAGACAAATAACTAATAACTTCAAAAAATATCCCAGTTTCCCTGTATCTGGACAAATTTAATCTCCTATCTGTGTAGCAGCTGTGAAAGTTGCCTTTGTTGGAATTGATGGATTCCTGGACTATGCATCCCTCTCTCTCTGTATTTTGGGAGCTTTTCTGCCTCAGATACATCACGAAAATTGTCTCCAGCAGGCTGAGCATCATCAGAGCAAAAATCCCGATGCAGTAACCGGCTGAAAAGGAATCAGACAGGACAAAATTAATTAAGCCAGGTCGCGTTTCCCGCACAAAAGGAGCAGATTTATCCTACCTATGAGTGGGACTCTGTCAGAGGAGGAAGGCAGAATTTCATTGAGAATGAGCTGCAACACTGTAATGGCCAGCAGCACAGTGACTTTAAAGCTGAGCTTCTCTCCACCGTAATCAGAGATCATGAAGGAGGCCAAGTCCAAACACAAGAAGAAGAGAACCGGCAGCAGGAAGTTGACAATGTACAGCAGAGACCTCCTCTTCATCGTGATCTGGGAAACAAGATTTAGATTAATATTCAGCAAAAGCAGAAAATTGACCTTTAGACAAAGTTTTACCAAAGTTTTGCTTCTTGAAAGCTGTTTTTTAGGGCATTTACTATAGAAATCTTCTGAGATTTAAAATGAGTTAAATCCCTTTCTAAGGGTCATGCAGCTTTAAAAGTGTGGAAAACATAAACACGAGACTTCAGTGAAAATGTAATTTTTTGCATAGTTTAAATACAGAACATGATAAAGGTCATTCATTGCTAAAGCAGAATAAGGAAAGGAAATTTCACTTTTCCAGGCAGTAATCGGAAAAGTGTGCATGTAACACTAATGATACTTACAGTATAAATGACGAGATCTTGATCAGTTGAAATGGTAGCGTTGTTTGTAGTGACGATCATGTTGATGAACAGCCACTCATACTGAGTCCGCATCACTTCCCGAGACCACTCTGTGGCTTCTGAAGAGTTGTCACTGGGCTGCAGGCGGATCTCTTTGACTGAAAAAGAGAAGAAATGCTGTAAAAGTTGTCCTGGATTTTTCCCACAAAAACCTTTAAATGTCTCTCTAGCGCTTGCTTTTGGGAAATATACTTGTTTTTATTCCACTTATTTACGTCATTATGCATTTTTTAGCAAAGCTAACATCATCAGAACCTGAAATATTCAGGTTTCAGCAACCTGAATATTTCTAATCAGAATTTCCTGTTAAGCTTCCTTGGCTATATATCTGTTCTCCACATCAGCTTGCTCGTTAATTTCATTTACCCTCTTGATTACACATTTAACATGAAGAAATTAGAAAAGAGGGAAGCATAAACATACAAAGAAGCAGTCGATTACTGCAGTCAGGTAATGTTGATGCCAGTCAACAGTTGTTTTCTGTCAAGACTGTCTTTCCAGCTTAACATTTCACATGTGGAAAACGTTCATAGATATGTTGGAAACGTGTTCTCACCCGTGTGTATGATGGACTTGAAGGTGAGGTCGCAGCTCTGAATGTCAAAAGGAAACTTGTATATATGCATCCTGCAGGTGCTCACTAACACCTGGTCATTCTGAACTTCAACGTCTCCTTTGTTGTTGATGGTGAGGTAAGGACTGGGAGGGGCTTTGTCTTTCTCTGTCCTGCATAAATTAAAAAGACAAACAAATTAAATGATTATGGAGGTTTGAACATTTTGGGATTTACACATGCAATGGATAATAAATAGTCACAGGTTCTAAGCTTTATAATAAGCAATAAATTCCCTTATTTAATATGTGATTTTGCAGACATTAAAAAATTTAAACAGAAACAAAACCTTTATGGAGGATTTTTGCAGAGATCTTTCTAGTAAAGTTTTTGAAGATTCTGCTTGTCCATTTTTCCTAATAAAATATCCTGCGCTGTCACCATGTATGAATACATTAATTCACAATAGCTGTCATCCTCTCTGTCTTATTTTCTCCACAGGGTGCGCCCTTAATGCGTTCTTAATTCCTGTCACCTCGAGCATCTCATTTATCCCAGCTGCTGAGCCTCCAGTACAGCAGCCCTCACTGTCTCTGGAACAGCCTTTTTCTCCTGCACTATCATTATCTTTTCCAGGATTTTGTGAGCAGCGCCATCATCAGAACATGAGTTTCCATCGTCCTCAGATCAAACTTTTTCTGCAAATTGTTTGTCCTATGTTCCTGGTCCAAGATAGATTGTAAAGTGAAACACTTTTTACAGTGGAGCAAACAAAATAATCATTCTGTTTCATACTTATACAGACCAACAATGACTGTGAGCTTTACCAGCCAATCAGTGTATTTACCTCTTTTATCTTTTTATCAGTTTCCTGTGAATAAATGGGTTAGCTGGTTAGCTTAGCCTATTATTCTGTCCTGCAAGATTACAAGCCTGCACTGTACCACTTCCTGGAAAATTAGAAGTTCACAATCTTCCACCAAATGTTTATAGTTGCTCTCAAGTTGCAGAAACTACCTTATGTTTAAATCTTAAGAGATAAACATTTAGCATTTAGTAGCACATGTGAGATTCAGAAAGGCATGTTATATTTAATTAAAAGTTGTTTTTTTAATCAGCCTAAAGATTAGACATGGCAAAGTGTGAGGGCCTCTTGATGTCTCTACACCACATACAGCATTACACTAATTTACATATGAACCCTTACATTTCTTCAATCGTAAGATCTGGTTTCCATAAAAGTTCAGTAGGTATAGAAACATTATCAATTCCACAAAACTGATCGGGATCCCACGAAATGTATTCGTTGTTCCACCTCTGAAAAGAAAAATAAAGAAAAAGAGCACAGTGTTAAAGACAAATTTCTCAGTAAATGAGCGTTTCCATTCTAACAAATGGTTGATTTGTCCAGAAGAACTCACTATGACAGTCCACACATAAGGAATAAATTTCTGGTCTTTTTCAACCTGCACAGAAAAAATGTGAAAATCACAACATAATGCACAGTCCATCAACACACAGTGCGATGTGTAGATTAAAATAACATTACTGGGCATTAACTCAGTCACAAACAGGAAGCGTTTCCACTCAGTTTCTCTAATGAACTGTAAATCGTCTTCTGCATTATCATAGTTAATATTAATGTATGGCTCATCCACAAGATTCCTTCTGAGGAAAGTTGTTATGTACTTGAGGATAACTGTAGTGTTCTAGAAAATGTTGGAGAAACTTTTAAAAGCAGCCTGGTCTGTCAAGATTTAGGTGCAATTTTAAAAATAACATTTCTGCTTTTAGAATAACTAGATAAATAAAGAGTTTCTAAACAATTTTGAGCATTTAATTCCCTAAATAGTTCAGATGAGCTCAGCAAAAGTCAATACAGCTTTGGAAGAAAGAAACTGAACTGGAGGCAGCTTTTGCCTCAGGATTTCAAAACACTTAAAAACTAAGCTTTACTGGAAGGAATGGTGAGGTGTTGTTTGTGATCATAAAGTTTCTCAGTTGAGAACATGTCTTTATTTAGAGTTTTTCTGTCATAGAATGTCTGGAAATCTCTAGACATAATGTTGTTTCAAGAAGTCACCTTTTTTAAAAAAAATTTACACCATGATTTGCTGCCCCTGTGGCTCATTTTTAAGCTGTGCCTGAGCTAAATGAAGGAGAGGCCATCAGTTATCAAAAATGAAGCATAAACTGGTTTGTGGAGAAAAGCAACTATATATATTGTATATTTACATATATAAAAAAATCCAAAGTAGTGTCATTAGTGTTGTTCTTTTAAGCTATTTTGTCACCTGCATGTATTAATCACACTGGGTTCACAATCTTGGGAATAAAGAATCCCTGTGGAAGGTGCTGGTCTACTAGGTATCCTTATTGTAGCCTACAACTCATTATCTCATGAGCTAATGAGCTCATTATTACTCTTCTCTGGAGATAAAAAACATAGTTTTTGGCTCCATTCCCTGCTGCCTTGTGTCTGCCTTTGTTTTCTTTCACAGCTTTTCTTTATTTTGCATTTTTCTATATTTTTCACATGTTAATGTGTAAAGACTTTTGAAAAAAAAAAAAAAGTAATACCTATCAGATATTAAAAATAATTGTTTACTTACCACATCTAGGATGGCATAGAGCAGAACTTCCAGTGACACTAGTGTGGGATTTTTGTAATTTTTGACGGGGCGGGTCATGGAGAACAACTCGTTGCTACGTGACAGGTTTAAATAGTTCAAAACATCCTGATAACTGCAGTTCTCCTCAGAATTAATCTCATCTGCAGACGATAAACACAGGGAAACATTTTTCAAAAACAGCCATCACATTTTGTCAATCTTTAATGAGATTGATTTAATTTTGACTACAAAGTGCATTAGCGCCGGTGTGGTTTGTATTCATTGCTACTGAATTTATGATGAGGAGATCAAAAACACTGGTTCACAGATACATGTAGTAATTACTAAAATTGATTGTGGGCATTAAGTGGCCATTATGAGACCATTGTTGACACCATTGTAGAGTTTCATGAAAGCAATCACTAATCATTTAGTAATGTCAATGTGTATCCCAGGAAAAGTTATGTCTTTATCTCTCAAAGATGTTCGAGATTATATAAGCAATGGATTATTTTGTAGTTTAATAAATGATTAAATACTATATACAAACAAAAAAGCTATCAGCGAATTAACTCACAATTATTGCAGCAGCACTACCAAGCAGACAACATTTGTTAACAATTGTTAAAAAGCATTTCCTGAAAAGATTTTAAATCCACATTTCACCACTTTTTAACAATAATTTAAAACTCATTTCACTGAATATTGCTGAGACTTACCAGAGATAAGGAGCAGAAAAAGGAAACCAACCAGCATCTTGACTTCCTCATGCGTATTTGTCCTTTCAGCGTCTCTTTGGAGTTGATGATCGCATGGTGTAGTACTGGAAATGGGCGGTTCAAGTCACAACTGTAGCTGGAGGTCTGGTGTATTTTTTGTGTTTTTTTCTTGTTGTTTTTTGCTGTTTTTTTCATATCCTCATGAATCTGATATCAGATAGAGGCCACACCCACATGTCCTGCATGAATGTATTAATTTACTTATAGATCAAGTTGCAAAGGAAATGGAAACATGTCCCGATGGCATATTAGATATTCAGCCTGGATTGTTTTCTTTCTTTTGGTGAAAAATTCCCAAAGCAAAACATTTAAGATTCTGTAGAACTAGATTGTAATTGAGTCGGTTTCCCAAAGCTTTTGCTGTAACCAAATGTTATGTAAAGGCTGATTTGTTAACTGGTTGGCACCATAATTCAGAAGTCTGTTAATGCAAGTAGATCAATGACAAAGAGTCGCTGCAAAAAATTCAGACTCTTCTTAATGTTCTTGTCTTGAAAAGTATGAATTCTTTCCTTTCCAAATTTGAAAAGTGAATAAGATAAGATTAAAATATATTTACTCATTTAAACATGTTTCATAGTTTATATTCATGTAATATTTGTAAAATACAAAATGAAACAGAACCATTTTGATATCCATAAATGTTTGGTTAGTTGTGCATTTGAAGCTCAACACCCTTCACATATTTTCACTTTTGTAGGAAACACAGCAAATATGTTGACTACACTCTAAATGTCCTGAATCTATGAAACAGGAGTGCAACACAAGTAGATCAGATCTTTGCTGTAATGAGTAAAATGAATGTCCATCATTCTGTGTAATATGATTACGGTGCACAGAATAGTAGAATGAAGACAATAAATATGATTAATTTATTATGTAAAATGAGCTGCAAGGTGAAAGGAGGTTGATATAAGACAAGAGGGTCAGACTGAAACAAAAACATATTTTATTACTGTAACTTTTCCTTTATCATACATAATATATAATCTCTTAAACTTTATTATCTCAGTCCATGTGACAATTTCTAATGCTGCTGCTCTGAACAAAACATTTATTCTAAACACACTTTTTATTTACAAAGCCTATGGATATTGGATATTTTAGGCCTCATCTAAATTCTAAAGTCAGCCAGATATTCAAGAACAGATAGGACAAAACACCCACTGTGTTACTGCATAAAATATACCAGGCAGGCATCGGCATAAAAATGGAAGGAAATGTTACATGTTTAAAAAGTTGTGGGTCTAGATATTAAGAATGAGGGAAATTTAATTATGCTGTATTGTCTCCACGTGTTAATGTATTAATTTTCTGTTTGAGTTTATTGAGATCCACATGGATTGGAATATCCCAATTGCAAAGTATTTAACTGGATTCTCAAACTTTGTTTCAATTTCAAATCTGCAAAAACTTGGTGTATAACATGCTTCTAAAAGCACAGATAACATTTACAGTGACATTTCCACTCCAGTCATTACCCTTAGTGAAAACATCAGCTTTCACTAGAGCACTACATGCTGATCGGCATTGCACAATAGAGTAATATAATGAATGATTTTCCCTTTTTTTAAGAGTACCACTCCATAAAGATGAAGGACAGGAAGAGTGAAACTGTTAAAACATAAAAAATGAAGAAAAGTCGGTTGATTCTCTTTGCCCAAAATACAGACTTCACTCTCTCCTCTCTGGGGCCAAAATGTTGGAGCATCATGTTCTGCAGCTTCTTCAGCTCATCCACGATCAACTGCAAAGCGTTTGTATCCCTCGAGTGGCCGCTGTAGTTCACCTGCACATAGATGCAGTGACTTCACTGGATTTTACTTTCTGAATCAGCATTTTACAACATTGTTCTACTCATCTCTGCCTTGTTTCTTATTTTGAGGAATCAGAGTGGTACGAGACATCCTGGAGTTGTCTTTATATATGTTAATGTGTAGAGGGATGTGAATAGTGAGAAGTGAAGTGGCTTCATATAAACTTTGCTCTGATCATAACCTATTCTGAGATTATTTAAATATTACATCATGTAAATGATCACAGATTTCACACAGTCTATATTGAACAAAGATTAAACTGATAAAATAATGTGAGACTAATTCAGTTGAGCTCTGGAGTTTGATTTGGGCCCAGTGGTCTTCAACCTTTACAATCCAGAGCCGTTCTTGTTCACAGTCCAGCTGAATAAAGCTTGTTTTGAGCTGCAAATGTTACCTGATTGTTTGAATAAAGACAAATTTTAATTTTTGATAAATGTATGCTTTAGAAAATGTGTTATAATTTTTAAAAACACCACATTTTATTTCTATTTTTAGTTTTTGAAACTAAGAAAAACAAACATTTCCAAAAAGAGGCTGGATATTTAGTTTACTTTAATTTGCAAGTCTTGTATTTGCTACATCAATTTAAAAACATCTATTGGTTTTCATTAACCCTCTATCACCGTGTTTGACTGTAGGCACCAGATGTTTGTGCTGATTTGTAGATTAATTCAGACTCGACTCTGAAGAAAGTTGAGTCTGATAGCATCAGATAGTACCAAAAAATAATCAGAACAAAAACCCCATAAATGATTTCTAAATTAGAACTGTGTTTATTCTTAATGGCATTCAAGTAAGTTTTTGCAAACCAAGTGTAACAATTATAAAAAAGCATAATAATTTGTATAGAGCATGCACATAATGCTTACCTCATCATTCACAGTAAGGAGCTCATGCTGCTTCTCACTTTCACAGACTGTGTAGCTGCAGCTGCAGCCATTTTGTTTTTTAATTTCTAAAAGAACAATGCACTTGTTAGAAAAAGGAGCATGGATACACACTATTTAAACATACAAACTTTGCAGGATCTTTTTTCCTTCATAAAAACTTTGGTGGCATTTATTTGTTGTAAATACATAATGAACTAAAAAAAACTACACATTTTATATGAGTGGAAATACACAAACAATAACATAAGGTGTCTCTGACCTGTGTTGCAATCTGTTTTTATTTGTTTGCTTTTTAACTCCCCACTGTCACACAAGCCGAGTTCATCTTCAGAGTCTTTATCTATCAGATACGTTACAAGGATTGTCTCCAGCAAACTGAGCAGCATCAGAGCAAAGATCACAATGCAGTAGGTCGCTTAGAGACAGAAACAGACGATTAATGACATTTGTTTGAGTATCTCAAGTCAAATGGAAGCCCTTCAATTCCCAACTTTTTACCTATCAGTGGAGTCTTGTTGGACATGGAGGGCAGGATGTCATTAAGGATGAGCAGGAGAACAGAGATGGCCAGCAGCACAGTGACTTTGAAGCCCAGCTTCTCCCCTCGATGGTCAGCGATGAAGAAGGATGCGAGGTCCAGGATGAGAAAAAACAGGACGGGCAACAGGAAGTTTATGACGTGGAGTAGATGTCTCCTCTTTATGGTGACCTGACAACATTTAAAAGCAAAGAAAAGTTTTTATTTTTCTGAGTTTCTTGAAGAGCTTTTTAAACAAAGGAGGTTAGTAAGACATTCAAAACATTGTTTTTTTATGTTCTTTGGTACAAATAATCATTAACTCTGAAATTTACTTTTGCATTTTAGTGAAGACAACTGTCATTTGGTATTTATAATACAGATGTTTGCCCAATTTATTTTCTGAATTGTACTCATAAGTACTAGATGTATAGTGCAAAACAAAAACATAACTGAAGTAAATAAGATATTATGAGCTATTAATATTACATAGAGTGTCTATGTTTGAGACTCTTCTTTTGGGGTATGAGAGGAACTAGTTCTGGATCAAAATTGCCTCAATATTTATGATGAAAAAAATTTACAGTTATATGTGAGAAATGACATCGCCGATCAAATAGACTCAGTGGGCTTAAAAAAACACAGAAAGTATAAATCAGGTATAATGATGATTTCCTGTCAACTTATGGAGTCACAACCTGCCAACTATGTGGGCCTAATGTCACGCAAAATATGGACAATTTGTAAGCACTGTTTCTTCAGACCACAAGCTAAGTGTCACTAATCATGATAAATTGGACATCTACTGAGGAGATTCTTTAGCACTAAACCAAAGAAATATTTCACTGTTTTTAATGAGTCAGGGCTTCAAAATCTAAATCTGACTCACTAGATATAAATATCTAGTTAGTTTATTTTATCATTGCACCCCTTTGTTGACTTATTTTTTTTTTTGTTTTCAGTGTTGTTTACCTTGTAAACTAGCAGTTCCCAACGCCTGTCATACAAGCTGATGTTGGAGCTTTCAACAGACATTTTGAGGAACTCCCACTCTCCCTGTGTCTTCATTACCTCTCTGGAAAACTGCGTTGCCCGAGAGGAATTTGAGAAAGGAAAAATTCGAATTTCTTTTACTGTTGGAAGATAAAAGAAAATTAAATGAGGGTCCAAGCTGCTGAGTAGTCTGAGTGACAGGTGTAATGATCGCTCAGATGATGATATAAGCATGAAACTTCTCACAATTGTTCCCTATCGGATATCTATCAATTTCAGAAGTAATGGCTTTAGCAGTGGCTGCTAGGTAACCAGTTTTGGACAATAACTTACTGCTAAAAACTTCAATAACTTACTGCTAAAAACTTCAATAACTTTATCTTTAGAAAAATTACATTTATTACAAGAACTATAAAGCCTTTTATCGAGAAAAATGGCACTATAGAAGCTATTTCAAGTTCTCAAAAAGTCTATTATGTTTCCATCTAGAGCTTTAAAATTTAATGGATTTTGGTCACTTAAATGCTTCACCACATTGTACTTCTATTTATTGCCCATCCATCACCATTTCAACCCAATCTGTTTTGTAAACAGACGAAATAGATTGGAATGTTTGTAACCAAACAAATCTTTAGATTTTTTTCCAAATGTATCTGTTTGGTTTTCTTTGAATGGTATTTATTTGATATACTCAAAATAAAATAAACTCCTGACTACTCAAACTAATGCCCAGTTCACACTACACGATTGTAGGGCCGATTTTGCCCTTACGACAATCTTAGAACGTTCTGAGTTCTAAGATTGTCGCTTCCGACAATCGGAATTAATTATCTTGGCTCAGTCATCACAATGTCTGTTGTTGAAGCTTACCTTCAAACTAGAATCTATTGTTTAAAGCTAAACATGCTATATGTTTTGATGTATATATGTGTTACTAA